TGAACATAACAATCGTTCATGAAAGTGTTCATTATCCGATTTGTTCATTAACCAATCACACACTGTATTTTCTATAATTCATGTCTAAATTATGAAAAATTATCTATTTCAGTAATATTATATTTACATATTGCTTGCATTTTTATCAAATTTATCAAATTAAAAGAAACTAATTTCTAATCTAAACTGACTTTTTACTTACTTTTATATGATTTAAAATATACAGTAAAAGTTCATTAATCTGGTATTAATAATCTAGATAATGATAATCCTTAATAATAAACCTGAATCCAGTTTCAAATTTTGTTTCAAACTTTAAACTCACTGTAGACAGTTGATTTGGTAAATACTGAAACCTGATGCAGCCCCATGAATATAGCCAAAAATGTTCATTTATTAAGTAGTTGTGGTTGGAAAATGTGTAGATGGTGCGATTTCATATATCTGCATACTAGTATTCTTCAAATCAAAATTTATTCAAACATATGGTTTGCTAAAATCCTCAGGCAAAAATTTAGGTGAAGATGGTGAGTGCAGCCATGAACATTGCTACATGTTGGGAGGTTGCCCAAGGAGTGAGTGTGATGTGATCAAGTAAAATGACTCATTTTATTACAGCACCTTGTGTTAGGTCAAATGCTGGTCAAATAATTGCTGAATAAAATATAAATTTTCATCTACAAGTATATATATTCTAATATCAGGTCTTATTATACTGACTTTACAGATAATGCTACAGAGTTTCACAGAAAACAATTTTTTTACTTAATTTAATATATAGGTATATTAAATTTTTTATTTTATTTAATATACAGGTATATTAAATAAAATAAAAAATTGTTTTCTGTGAAACTCTGTAGCATTATCTGTAAAGTCAGTATAATAAGTCCTGATATTAGAAGATATGTACTTGTAGATGAAAATTTATATTTTAGTAAGTCAAGGACATTGAGGCATTTTAATTAATTGCTGAATAAATTGATGCAAACATCTTTTAATATTGAAATTGAAAGCAATACCGGACATTTGCAGGTTTTGACAAAAATTAATCCTCACTACATCTGTGCAGCAACATTTATAAAAGCTTCACACCACAGTAATGACTTTCAATGTCAGTCATTCTCAGTCACTCATGTATTGTTCTCAAGTAATTTTTCAGTTGTCATTCTTCAGCAAAGTCAGTGAATAGAATTGGCAGGCAATCTGACTTCTACACAACAAACCATATCTCTAAATCAAACGCTTGGCACTAACAATCACCAACACATATGTCAGCTTCTGCTCAATGGTGATACCAGCATTTACACAACATATGTAATCTAACATTGCTTCATTAGAATAGCATATGTGTTTTGTGTTCGGTAATGTGCATAACTGATGTATTTTCTCTTCCATAGGCCAATGCAAAAAGAGGGACCTAAAATCATGTTTCCAAACCAAACAAACCACTGTATTATTGAGCTAGAATAAAGTTAATTTTAAGAATTTGTTATGATGTAATTTAACAAGAGATAGTCAGTAAAGACACCATCTTGTGATAAATTTAATAATTATAATAAATTCAATTTAATTTTAGAATTTCTGGAAGAAATGAATCAGCCTGGAACAGGACTCAAACTCACAACTCCTGTATACTGTATACATGCATTGCCTATTATGCTACCAAGACCTCCATTGGATCTTTGCTTTCAGAACTATTAAAATCCATCTAATAAACAAAGCATTGACAAATATATCACACTAACTTTAAAATGCTTGGCAGTTATTTTTTTAACATATCACAAACATTTTCAGTCCATCCTACAACCTTCTTCAGGTACAACCTTCTAGTAGAAAAGTTCTTCAGGTACAACCTTCTAGTAGAAAAGGGTTTTTCTACTAGAGAAAAACCCTTTTCTGGTGTGATTCTGTTCTATTCCATTTCTGATGTGTTCTAATTTTTTTTTTAATTCCTTTTTAAATTTTAAATTTCTAACAATATGTATCTGCAGATGTAAGCCTACAGACATACGCCGGATGTATTTGGCATGCTAAGTAATGAGAAAGATCAAGCAGATATTGAAAGAGAGCCAGGAGTATATAAAATTCCGCTCAAAGATGACAGATTCAACAGAGATTTTGTATATATCAGATCTACAAGAAGATTGCTCAAACAACACCTATGCGAGCATAAAACCAATATTGAAAAAAAGAAAAACACTACTGCCTTAGTTACATATGCCAGTGAAAATAGCATTACATCCAAATTACAAGTGACCATAGCAAACTTGTCATATACACCAACTTAGGAATTTGGAGGCATTAGAAATTTTTAAAACTGAATGCCAGGGCCTTTCAATCAATTTTAAAGAAGAAAAACAACTCTCAAGAGTGTGGCAGGCTATGTATAAACTGGCATTATAGCAGGTGCACATCGTTAAAAATTTAAAATTTAAAAAGGAAATTCAAAAGGAAATTAGAACACACTGGAAACAGAATCATGCCAGAAAAGGGTTTTCTCTAGGAGAACTCCACCTGAAGAAGGTCTGAAAATAACTGAACTCCACCTGATGGGTGAACCGAAAATGTTTGTGATACATTAAAAGATATCTGCAAAGCATTTTAAGATTAGTGTGATATATCAGAACTATTAATCTATATACAACCATTTGCTAGCTGAGCAGGTTAAAAATTTTAGCTAGCTAAGAACCATGGAAGGTCATAGGTACTGAAATCATCCCCAGTCAGCAAAGTGAGTGACCAGTATGATTATATTTAAATTAATAGTTCTAAAAGCAAAGATTCAATGGAGGTCTTGGGTACATAATTAGCAATACATTTGTATAGTATGCAGAAGTTGCAGATTTGAGTCCAACTCTGGGCCAATTATTTTCTTCCAGAAATTCTAAAATTAAATTAAATTTATCACAAGTTGGTGACCTAACTGCATATCTCTTATCAAATTACTTCATATCTAATTCTTAAAATTAGTCTTATTATAGCCTGATAATATGATAATTTGTTTGGTTTGACTTTAACATTCAGGTTTGTGGATTTGTTTATGTACATATAAATCGGATTTTTCATACTTGGAACATATATAGCTTTTGTAAATTATATATTCGCAGTACATGTCTGGAAAATAAATATTACAGTATATTCACAAAAATTTTAAATAATGATAAACCAACTGAAACAGCAGATCAATCACTTCAAAACACCCTACACTTCCAACATAAATGTTCCAATCAAATTAAAATTTTTGGCCTTATTTAAAGATCTTCTTCAGGCTATACTAGTTAAACAGAATAGATTTGAAAGTAGAATGCTCCAAAATAGAAGTCATACAATTTATTTATTTATTTTATTTTAAAATACAATAGGAAGTGTTGCTGGACAATTAATTTCCTGCCCCAATTTAATAAAAAGAAAAAAACCTTAAAAAGAATAATAAAACAAAAAATATAACAAACAAATGCACAGAAAATACAATAAGATAAAAAAATTATGTATAAAAATAAAAAAATAGATTACTGCTCAAGAGAAAATTGTGTGTTACAGAGTAGGCATTATGCATTTAAAATGTAATAAATCCAAATATAAAATCTGTTGAACATTACTAATGCTTTGAGAAAAATGATAAAAATAAGACCGAATAGAAAGAGCTAGCCTAAAAGAAGGGGTAAAACGCAAGATTAAACATTGGGGATTAAACGTTAATTTAAATATTCAAATTACATTACACTCATAATCCAACCAATCAGTAGATATGCATGAATATAAAGCTACAAAAAATTATAAAATAAATAAAACCCAAGTACAACAAGCAATTATTTATTGTGACATCGTCGCAATGCTGGGCAGAAATTTTTAATCATATTTTTTATTTATTTCATTTAAAAAATATACTCCCCATCTCAAATTAGTAGTGGCTCGCCCCTGTATATCATTTCTTTCCTTTAGCAATAGAGCCGTGACAGTCAACTATGAACTGCTTTCAGGAGAAAAGTTTTGAACTGAAATAACGTGACTTCCAGTTTGCATCAGAAGTTTGAATATATCAATAGTTAATTGGGGCCTCCTGCCCCTATACTTTATATATCTTGTCTTGGATTTCATCTAACTCTGTTCTTGAGATTAAGGAAAGACAGATGACCAAATGGATATATGGCTGGATGACAGTGGGATTTTGTCTACAATTTTTTCAAATTGTAAGTCCAATAATATAAACTCTAACTAGGAAAAAATGTGAACAAATGCTCTACTAGAGAAAATTTAGGGTGTCATAAAATGTTTTCCATGCTGTAGAAATGGAGTCAGCTTCTTTGTAATTAATGCTATAACCATTCCTTATTAAATATTAAAATAAAAATATATAAATATTAAAATAACTTATAAATTTATTATACGTTTAAATTAGAAGTTGAAAGTTTTGCTTTTTGATATACAGTAGAACCCCAATTATCTGAGGTAACATTGACTGATGCTGCATCAAATAATCAAAAACTGTGATAAAACAGACAGTTATAACCATTTTGGATTAAAAATTAAGAATATAAAAGATTTATATAATTGCCTTTTTAAACCTCTATTATCCTTTGGTAAATTTATAACAACATATATAACACCAACAATTTTTATATCATTTATTACACACCCAAATGTAAAATAAGAATAAAAGTATCTATTATTGTAGTTAAATTTTAATATGAATGGTTTGTCTTACATTGAAGTTAAATAATAAAATGTAATAGAAACAAATCATTTTGTAATACATGTTATTGTTTTAAACTTTCTTTTATGAATTAGAGCATAAGAAGAATAGTATATTCACTGACAGGTTTGCTTGGATAATGCAGAATCTTGGTTAATCAGGACTCAGACAGTCAGGGTTCTACTGTAATTTATTATTATTTAATATCATCAATTATTTTGGCAATATTATATTTATTAAAGTCTAATAATCATTATAGAATTATTAAAAATACTCTATTACTATGAAACAAAAAATATTATCTTACTTTATTATTTGGATATGTTCCATCTTTGTCTACAGCTTGCACTTGAGTCACTTTAGTTCCAGGAGGCATTCCTTCAAGTACTGTTTCTTGTTCTCTTTCAATAAACAATGGTATCTCATCATTGACATCTTCCAATACAATATATACAGTGGCTTCTGATGCTAATTGATGAATCCCATTATTCTGTAAATAAATTTTAGATATAATATACAAGAAATAATTACTTTATTTTATTTATAGTGCAAACAAAATAAATTGCATGATTTTGTACAATTTACTAACAATGTATAAAATATTAATTGCAAATTGGCTTTACTAATATTTATTTTAGTAAACCTGCAATTTGCTAATGTTAGTAAACTACAACAAATTGCAATCATTAAACTTTTCATAATAAATTATTCATGAAATTCAATTATAGCCTCATTTAAGAATGCAAACTAAAAAACAAAAATTTGTAAAGTAAATTACACATTCTTTTAAATTTTAAAATATAAAATAAAATTCAATTTAAATTAATTTTTAAAAATTATTTTATTATAACTTTACTTAGAAGTAACACTACATATCATTATAGCTAGCTCACTCCCTCTTTCAAGGATAATCTCTTAAATATGTTAAACATGTATATCTATGCCCAAAATAAAATTTGAACCTATAATTTGGCAAGTAATTGTTTTTAATTAAATTCTACAAGGTTTATCTATTATATATTTTGTAAATATTCAAAAGTACTGTGTTTTATAATTAAAAAGAGATTTAATGATTTACTTTCCTAAATTCAGCACTGTTATCATTGTACGATATTATCTAAATAAGCTTTGTTTGCAAGAAAGAATATCTCAAAATTTTCCAAAACTATTTAAAAATTTAAAAAAAAATTAAATGCAAAGCTTTTTTGTTTTGAAAGATTGGATATTTTTCAATCTTTCAAAACAAAAAATAATAATCAGTATCCAAATACAGTAAAACTCTGTGAAAGTATGTAGTTTTCATCTTTAAGGAAGACAAGTTGAAGCAAAGTACGACAAAAAGGACAACTTTAATTAAGATTGAAAGCTTAACTACAGGCTTCTTTAGAATGCCAGTGCTAACTTTATGTCCCGACAGTTAGAAACAATCAGAATCGCGAACAAGGTTACACAAACAAACTCCCGAATCATAGAACACGACATAAAGAACCGTTATTGAAAATCATTGTATGAAAATCTAAATCTATCTTAAACACTAATAACAAATAAGACTTAAACTAATATTAACTAAGATAAGAAGATAGGGGATAGGTAAAGGAAAGTTAGAACTCAGAAAAGGGGTACCCAATGCTAGTATGTAAGGCCTTCGAAGATCGTTTCTCTTTGCAATGTCCTTAGTGAGGGTCTTACATAAAGTTGGAAGGATCTCCCTTTTTTCCTTCAAGTCGCACAACTGTTGGCAGTTATGATGTGAAGATTCGTTCTTAATTTCCATGGGTCTATCATGGATATCTCTTTGTCTGTCTCTCAGACTCTCCCTTCGTCTCACGTAGACTCCAAAAACCTTCTCCCGCTCCTTCTCACTTCATTCCTCCCTCTCGTCCCCCTTACTTCTCTTCTTACCTCACCTCTCCCCTTGTTTTAGGGTGTTTTCAATAGCCAATAAGTAAAGGAATTTCGGGGAGAGACTCTCCACAGAGGTAGACCATAGAACGAAGAAAGGAGGGAAAAAAAGAGGAAAGAAAGGAACGTAAAAAGAAAAATAAAGCTAATTAAAATGAAATATAAACTACATACAAAATACATGGCGTACTGCCACAACTCTAACTCAAAGCTCCAAGGGACAGGAAAAAACTTTGAGTTACAGGACAATTTGAATTAGAAAACAATTGAGTAAAAAATGATTCTGGCTCAACTGAGCTATTGATCAGCTCAAATCAACTGATACAATATGTTACCAATATTGTATCAGTTAATTTGAAATTTTAATATATTTTCAAGTTTTTCAAATAATTGATGAGTTATTTAAAATAGTAATAAGGCTTGCCAAGCTAACGAAAGAACTCTAAGCATATTGTATATACAATATGGAAANTTATGACCAAAAATCAATAAATTTATTATATCAAATTTCATTTTTAGAATGTATATACAATAAGCAAAAACGTGCTTACTCGTGCCTCTAATCAGTGTGTAGAAATACAAAAATAAATAATTTTGTAAAAACAAACGTTTTTCCAAACACCTTCCGTCTCCTTCTTCAGGTAAAATGGTTGAATTCCTTATTCTTGAACACCATCATGCAATTTTTTAAAAAGAAAAATTTGAACAATGTTTTGATTGTGCGATATCTATTGTGCATGCGTTGTATCTGTCTTGTTCCTTTCATTCAGCATCACATTTACTCTTCTCTTACGTGTTTAATGTATTATTTTTATTATGATCTTTACATGTCCTCGTACAACCTCCTACACCAACCACATCCTTAATAATCATTACATAATAAGGCTTGCCAAGCTAACGAAAGAACTCTAAGCATATTGTATATACAATATGCTTAGAGTTCTTTCGTTAGCTTGGCAAGCCTTATTATGTAATGATTATTAAGGATGTGGTTGGTGTAGGAGGTTGTACGAGGACATGTAAAGATCATAATAAAAATAATACATTAAACACGTAAGAGAAGAGTAAATGTGATGCTGAATGAAAGGAACAAGACAGATACAACGCATGCACAATAGATATCGCACAATCAAAACATTGTTCAAATTTTTCTTTTTAAAAAATTGCATGATGGTGTTCAAGAATAAGGAATTCAACCATTTTACCTGAAGAAGGACACGGAAGGTGTTTGGAAAAACGTTTGTTTTTACAAAATTATTTATTTTTGTATTTCTACACACTGATTAGAGGCACGAGTAAGCACGTTTTTGCTTATTGTATATACATTCTAAAAATGAAATTTGATATAATAAATTTATTGATTTTTGGTCATAAATATTTACTATATAAGTTTAACTTAAGCAAAAATAGTGTAAGATTTAGTTTTGGTTGAAACCGACTTTAAAACCCAAATTTAGTTTCAATTTTGAATTCAGCTGCAAAATCTAATTTTGGTTGAATCTTATCTGTCTACAAAAAATTTAATGATACCAAATCTGATGAAAAGTATTGATACTAGTAGCAGTATCGGACCAAAAGTATCAAGTACAAAAAGTATTCAATATGGTATCAGTATCAACAGTATTGGGACATCCTTATTTGTTGCACATATTTTAAGTTGTATTAAAAAAACTAAAAGTATGTGCAAGCTTTAAAAAGAAAATGCAGAGGGTTAGAAAAACTATATTAAAATAAAACTAATCATCAAAACTTCAATTAATATAAAACTAATCATCAAAACTTCAATTAATATAAAACTAATCATCAAAACTTCAATTTGTTTGTCTTAAATTCAGGGGCGAATTCTCTGGCCTTGCTTAGCATGTGCCATATGCTTAAAAGAAAGTTTTGACTGTCAATATATTTTTTATACGAGAACAAATATGCCAATAATTTATTCTAACGTGTACACTCTTTTATCATTTGTGTTTCCTTTTACACTGGCAGCTAGCAGCTAGCTGTTTTAAGTCAGTGCATTGCTTGTGAGAACTCGATTGCTTGCTTGTGTGGAGGTATTCCGCAGAAAACAAATGTGCATTCATGACGTCATTCAAATCATTTCACACAGCCAGATTGTATCAAGAGCTTGTGGTACCTAGTCAGCATAAATGTATTGTGTACAGGGGTGGATCTAAATAGAAACTAATAGGGCTTAAACCAAGGGCCCACAAAAATTGGATATAAATTCAATAATCGAATTATTGAAATAAATTTTTAATACTTTCTCATTATAATATATTTCATGTGTAAATATAATGGGCTTTATAATAGTCCATACTTTTTTATTCACACCAAATAACATTTCTGCCTATTGCTTAATGTTAGAGATAGGCCTATTATTCTTATTATAACTTTCAGCATGCCCAAAAATTTTGGTAAGATTCACCCCTGCTTAAATTATTGGGAAAAGATAGTACTTCTAAAATTGTTGCCTAAACAAACATAAATGTAAATCAGTGGCATGCCGTCATTAGAAGCCGTGGATGCGCCGCTTCCCTTGTATTTTCTAAAAAATAAATACAGTGGGTGATCGGTTAACGAACAGATCGCATAACGAACAAATCAGATAACGAACACTTTCGCGAAAGATTTTTATGTTCGGACAATGAACACATGATCAGATAACGAACACCCCACAGAACAAACACAAGAAGAAGCGACGTAAATTAATGAATACTGATTGGTCTTCCCTTGTCTTCGGGCAACAATTCGAAACTTTTTGGAGTGTGGGAGACGTCGACATCGACGCTCAAGCCGATATATACCGATCGGATATTATTCCTCCGAACTTTGAAACTCTTCCTTGTAATTTCAGCCTTTTATTTTTCTGACAAAACAATTATTTTATGTATTCGTGAGACTGTCGGGTAGGCACTCGTTA